GAAAACCGATTTGAAAACATAATGAAGGAGAACTTCCCTAGTCTGGCAAAGTAAATAGACTTCCAGGAAGTCCGAGAAGCTTAGAGTGTCCCAAAGAAGTTGAACCCAAAGAGGAACACATCAAAGCACATCATAATCACATTACCCAAGATTAAAGATAAGGAGAAGATCTTAAAAGTAGCAAGAGAAGAGGAGACATTACCTACAAAGGAGTTCTCATAAGGCTATCAGCTGATTTCTCAAAAGAAACCTTGCAGGGAAGAAGGGGCTGGAAAAAAGTATTCGAAGTCATGAAAGGCAAGTACCTGCATCCAAGATTACTCTATTCAGCAAAGCTATCATTTAGAATGGAAGGGTAGATAAAGTGCTTCCCAGATAAGGTCAAGTTAAAGGAGTTCAGCATTACCAAGCCATTATTACATGAAATGTTAAAGGGACTTGAAAAAGAAGATAAAAAATATGAACAGTAAAATGACAACAAACTTATCACTATCAACAACTGAACCTGAAAAAAAAAACAAAAACAAAAATGAACTAAGCAAACAACTAGAACAGGAACAGATTCACAGAAATAGAGATCACATGAAGGGTTATCAGTGGGGATGCGGATGGGGGAGAGTGGGGGGGAAGGTACAGGGAATAAGAAACATAAATGGTAGGTACAAAATAGACAGGAGAGGTTAAGAATAGTATAGGAAATGGAGAAGCCAAAGAACTTATATGTGCAACCCATGGACGTGAACTAAGGGAGGGTGAGTGCTGGTGGAAGGGGTGCAGGGTGGAGGGGTATATAGGGGAGAAAAAAAGGGACAACTTTAATAGCATAATCAATAAAATATATTTTTAAATAATATAGCGGTAGCAGTAGTCTATCTTGTATTTGCTTACTCCTGGCTGCTCACTCCAAGGATGTATCCAGAGATGCCACTGTTCTGAAGTGTCCCCATTTCCTCTGAGAGTGAAAGTCAAGTGCTGGAGTCTGAGAAACTCAAGTGCCTCCTCAGCCTTGCCAAGCAAGGGCTTCCAGGACTCCATTAAGTAGGAGGCCCTCCCACTTGCCCTGTGCTATCCATATCTCACTCTCTAGCAAGACAGTCTGCCTCCTATATGGAGCTCTTTGAGAGCAGGACCCACCTCCTGTCCATGTATGAACCACAGTAAGATCAGGCACACACCCAGGAAAAGTGTTAGTGACACCTTCAGAGTCTGATCAATTGGATGGGTACTGAAAATATCCTATCAGTTGCCTGCATCCCCACCATTCAAATTCATTCTTTCATGAAATTAAATTGATTTTTCCAGAAATTTCACCTATGATGCCATGGGATAAAGTAGGAAGAGCATGAGCGGGAGAGGTTTGCATCCTGCCTCTGCTGTTTACCAGCTGTGAGACCTTGGAAAAGTCACTCAACCTTCCTTAAACCTCAGTTCATCACAGCAAAATATGGACACCTACCTGAGAAGTGCCATACGTAAAGCAGGATAATCCATGGAAATGGACTTCGGCAACTCTGGAACTCTGAGCAACACATTCATTTGGGAGATGATCCACTTAGCAGAGAAATTAGGATCCTCCTTAAGGGTTTGGATATAGGGAACCGATCAGCATGGCAGTGGCAGATGTAACCCATTATTGATCCAGAAACCTATCAATGCGAGGTGGCACACAGGTGTGCAGATTGGCTTTTCCATGGGGAATTAGGCCTGCATTGTACCCAGGCTGCTATGAGACTTGCTTTTGCTAAAACTCCCTCACCCTGAGTTAAGACTGCAGATGTTTAATGCATATCTCTGAAGCAACTCCCTAAAGTCTGTGCTAAGATGTCCCAAGGACAAAATGTAAACAAAGAGATCATTTTTATCATTCCCTTGCATTTGCAACTTTTTTCTCTTTTTTTGCTATCTGTAAGAAGTAATCACTTAACTAAATATAGAAATAATGAGAACCTTCTTTGATGTAATGCGACTGGAAAGCAATAAAAGCCTGTCCAGACAAGGGTCAGTGCACTCTCCTCTTGAGAGAGTGACCGTGCCGTCCCTTTTTCTCCACAGAAGTCAGTAGTCCGTGTGAATTTGTTTACCTCATCCACAACACACAGACTCTAGAGGGCTGGAGTCTGCATCATTTGGATACTAAAAGACATGCTTTAAAGGGGAAGCCACTAGCCACATGCCACATGAGGCTATTTAAATTGAAATTAATTAAAGGAAAATAACGGAAAGTTCAGCTCCACAGTCATACTAGTCACATATAAAGTGCTCATTAGTGACATACAGCAAGTGGCTACCATATGAGACAGCACAGATATGGACCCTTCAATCATTGCACAAAGTTATTACAGAGTTCTTTGTACACTGAGATACAGTCCAGCTCAGAAGACAGAGCTAAACAAGAAGCCAAACATCTAGTTATAATCCATAACACTTGTCAGTGAGAAGCAACTGGCAATGCCTTCTCCATTTTCAGATGATGAATAGAACAAAGGAAATCTCTAGTTTTCATTCTCTCAAAGTGCATAGAGCATTTAAGACCTGACATACCTCCTGGCACCTCCTAGAACTGTTCTCTCCAGGCTGGAGACCAAAAGAGTTCTCCTGGGACATGAAGCTTGTCTGTGATGATATCTAATCTTGTAGCAAGTGACACTAGTTTAGTGTAGATGAGAGAAACAGCCTTGGTTGTATCCTAGCTTTGCCAGCTGTATGATTGTGGGCCAGTAATTAATCCCTCTTGTCCTCAGTGTCTCCGTTCATAACATGGAGTGAATAATAGTACAATATGTGACCTAGAACATTCTGGGAGTATTAAATAATTCAAAGAAGAATAAACAGTTAGAGCTCTGCCTGATGCACAGTAAACACTACATAGGTGATGATGATGATGATGAACCCTATGTATGATGGGTTCTTGAACCTGTTTGTGAGAAGATGCACCTGCCACTTGATATCCCTCTCTACTTTTACTGTTTGATACCAAAAGTAACATCCCCCAAAGCTAAACTGGTCATCTCAGTCTGGGTCCCTCTATAAAATAAGCCAGGAAAAAGAATATAAGCACAACTATACTATTAATCAACCCACACTAAGGGCTTTTCACATGCTGGACTCTACATGCAGCACTTTAGTTGTACTATGTGTTTCATCTTCAAAACAGCCCTAACAGGCATGCAATCTGCTAAAATTACTTCCCCTTTGCCTATGAGGAATTTAAAGCTTAGAAATTGAACTTGCCCTGAAGGGAAAGAAAAGGATCTCGGCGTCAGCTCCATTAGGTACCACCAGGTGGAACTGCCCATCCACTTTCCAATTCCACAGTGTGGTGGGAACACTGAGGAGGATCTGCCTGCAAGCATTTAATGATAGCTCCTTGACAGGTGTGGGTCAAGTGGTTGGAAGTCATCCCACAAAGTAACAGGTTTCCTGGTTTGTCTCCTGGTCAGGGCACATGGCTGGGTTGCAAATTCGGTCCCTAGTCAGGACCCGTGCAAGAAGAAACCGATAGCTGTTTCTCTCCCTCTCTCTCCCTCCTCTTTCCTTCCCCTGTCTCTAAAAATAAATAAACAAAATCTTTTTAAAAAATTAAATGATCACCCACTGTTTGTAAGGCACTGTTTTGGGCACAGAGCATATATCAGTAAATAAAACAGGATTATTTTTCTGCCCTTTCTTTCATTTTCCTTATAAATAACAATATTCACATGGATGCAGACATGGGCTGACCAGCAGAAAATCATCTTGGCTGAAGGCAGGCTTGAGGGAAGGAATGAGGAAAGGTCCATGGTCCCCAAAGATCAAGGCAGGAAACTACCCCAGAAAGCAGTGTCATTCTGCCACCTTACTGCCTCCCCATTCCCCAACCCAACCTCAGGGAGGTGGGGAGCAGGGATCATCACCTTGTCCTGTCCAGTAAGGCCTGGATGGGATAGGGTGAGGGGGGTCTCACCCTGAGTAACTGGAGCTGGAAGGGTCATGAAGTTCTGGGATTTTTTTAGGGGAGACCTGAAGAACCTGGTCTACAGGTCGACTGGGGAACTAGCCCAGTGGGAACAGCCTGTGGAATGAAACCTCCCAAGTCCAGTGGGATCAATGCCCACCTCGGATTGTATGGCAGACTAGGAGCCAAGGTGGACTTTGCCGAGGTGCGATACTGCCCTGGATACTTCCAACCTGTCCCACTGCCCCTAGGTGGTTGCGTGTCCTGGCTCTGCCCAAACACTCTGGGCACAGAGTGTTTATGGAGAGCAAAGCCAGTGGCACCAGGGCCTGGGAGTATGTGCGCCCCGCCCCCCCGGAGAGCGGTGGACGTGTGTGGAAGTGGGTGATGTGTGAGGCGTTGGTGTTGGGGATTCTGCTTATGGATCCACGAGAGAGGTGCACACGTGTGGGTATGTGAATATGATGTGGGTGTTGACCCAGTGTAGCAAAATGACAAGAGCACTGGAGTTTGGGGTAGGTGGAGTGGAGTGCACCATGGCAGAAAAGGGCTGCGTTTCGACCTGCGTAGAAGACGCTGAGCGGCTAGGGTGCACAAGGTAGTATACCGGCACAAAGGTGACTCTGTAAAGTGCGCCGTGGAAACCCCTTTGCGTTCTGGATCTGGTGCTGCTGTGAGGAAGTTACTGTTTAGTAATCCACGTTGGAGAGTGCTATGGGCCGGGTAAATGCTCTGCACTAGGACCCTCGTGGGACTATCCCTCCGTATGTGTTAGTGTAACTGCATCAACCTGGGGACATGTCTGGACTATTTATGGTGTACTAAGAACGCTGAGGGAGCTTGTCCCCGAATTTGTGACAATGAAGGGGATCCTCCGGGAAAGGACTGAGGAGCTTGTGCAGCTGGGTGAGGGCTATCGGTGGTGGGTTCAGTGCACTGCAGTTAGCAAGGCAGGAGGGAAGGACCCGGTCTCTGAGTCTCAGGGGTGGGACCTGCAGGAGGGGAGGGGCCACGGCTGCTGCAACAGCTCCACCCGGCCAGGGGGCGCTTCGAGCCTTAGAAGTTAGGAGGGTCAGGCTCTGAGGCCAGAGCGGGTGCGCACTGGGCGGGGGCCACCACAGCGCAGCAGAGATGTGACACGCCGGAGGGCTATTGGAAACATCAGGGCTACCGGACCAAGGAGGTCTCGGTGAGTGAGAGCCATGCTGATGGTGTGGAAAGCGCTGCGGGTACTCTAGAAACTTTTCCCGCGTGGACTTGGACGGATTAGGGGGTCTGCTTCTTGTGCTTTTCTAATTCCCCCAAGGGGTTAGTCTCTTGGGGAAGATGGGGATCCAGATACGAGGAACCACATTCGGGCGGGAGAGGAGCCGCAGAGAGCAGGGCTGGGACGAACGGGAAGACTAGGGACCTTTGGCGTGGGGTGGGAGGATAGAGATCCAAGCCTCTGAGGAGAGTCTTCAGGCAACCACAAGTAAAGGGCAGCTGGGGGTAGTATAAGGGAGTCCAACCTTGCCGGAGTGACTCTTCGTGTGAGGGGAGTCTGGGGCAGGTACGGAGGCCGCGTAGCAAGCCCGTAGGGGCTGACCACAGACTTGGCAGACAGGGTGGGGGCACAAGGACATGGCTTTGGGGGTGAACTGCCACACCTGCTGCAGGGGCTGGGGGCCAAGCTCGCAGCCGTTCGTGGTTTTGCACTACGGGACAAGGCACGGGACAAGGCGGCGACACTGCAGATGAAAAGAGACTGAGTTGAGACTTGAGGCTGGAGGACCAAAGAGGGGCAGCCGCATACAATGGTGGGGGTAGGGTGCGGGGTGGGGGGTGGTGTTGGCATTTCTGTACGTGCCAGGCTGGGGGAAAGGGCTAGTCCTGTGCTACGTTCCCTCTGCTAGGGATACGCAGGCTCCAATCTCGGAATCCCTTCCACCCGCACCCGCCTCGGCCGGGGGCCGGGAGCTGGTTAATCACTGGGCAGTGGGGGAACAGACCTTCTCAGTGCAGCTCGGTACATTCCCTAGCCCCTGCTCTGTCGCACCCAGGCCCAGCCACCCCATCCCCCACCCCCATCCCCCCTTCGACACGCAAACACGCAGACCTTGTCCTTTCACTAAGGGGGCGGCTCCTTGAAGCTCGGACAAAGGCCTCTGAAGTGTGGTGGACAGCAGCATCCCTGTTGGGCCAGCCCACACGCTGCATTGGCTGCCCAACTGCTCCAGTTTGAGGGGGTAGGGCGCACTTGAGCACGACCGGGAGGAAATGGAGTGTCCTCACAAAGACTAGAGAAGTTAGGATCCGAGGGAACTTGGCAAAAAAGCCTCAGAACTTCAGCCAAGGAGCCTAGATTTAGAAGTTTCCTCAGTGGGTTGCGGGATCCAGACTTTGAGTTGAACCACATGCAGGTGAATGTAAATAGGGTGCAAATCAGTGTCTGTCGGCTGGAAGCCCTCCACTGGGCTAGTTTTGTTTCTAGACTGAAGTGAACCTTTCTTAGCCGTTCCCTGCTTTAATTCTGAAAAGGGGTCAGCTTAGTTGAGAAGGGAAGAAGATAGACAGGAAGAGTTGCCATTTGGGGCACAGCAAGACAAGCAGTCTTGTTAGAAATAGAAGCCCAAAAGCTTCATTGATTAATTTGTTATTTCAGTAAGTGCACCAGCTACAGAACTGGGTCTGGGACACTACGGTATATAACATGAACAAGCTCCTGCCCTCAAGGCTCTGGGGAGGTTGGCAAACAAACAGTAAACAAGTAAATATGTAGTAGATGTAACTTCCATTTAGGATAAGGTCCACCAGGAAAATCAAACAGAAGGCTGTAAAGAAAGTGACAAGGGTTTGTGTATATAAGAGAATACTGTTCTAGGGAGTGACATTTTAGTGGAACCCTGTAAGATGAGGGACCCTGCCTCTGGGAGATCTGGGAAGAGAGCACTGAAAATTCAAAGGCTTGGAGGTGGGACTGAAATTAGAGGAACTGAACAAAGGCCATTGTGGCTGGAGCTCATAGGAGATGCTTGTGTGTGGGAGGCAAGACTGCACTGTAGGGATCAGCCAGACTTCCATCTTTTGGCCCATGGGAAGTTTAGGTTTTATTCTCCTTGGGCCAGTGAACACTTACAGGGTGTTAAGTGGGAAGCTGTGCTATCTGATTTTTAAAAAACTCCTCTAACCTTGACAAGAACACAGAGAGCAGCTTCTCTTTCATTCTGCCTCTAGGTATAGCAGGGTGCCAGGAGCCTCCTAGGGTCCTTGACCAGCTTGCCAGCCTGTGGGGAGACAACTTTGCACCTGATCAGCCCTGTGAGTGTATTCAACAACTGGCTCCAATTTTAAAATCCACTCCCCACTTCTAAGCAGTTCTTGGCTACTCTAAGAAGCCCCCACCCAGAGCGTAGGGCCCCACAAACACTTCCACACAAAGCTTCCTAAGGATTCTGAGTTAGTCATATTTTCTTGTCAGAATTGCAACCCAAGAGGAACCGACAAGCCCTACTGAGCAGCCAAGGATGCAATTTGCATTTAAATGATTGCTTTTATTTACTGGATCAGAGCTGCTTTGCATATTCGTGTGCAAAGAACTGGTGTTGGGTCAACCCTATTTATTGACTCTTGAGGATTATTAAACCCAAAGGCCCCCAGACAGACTGGTGGTCTGGGCAGCATTAGGAAATGAAGATTATAAAATAATGTTGTTTGGAAAACAAGGTAAGATTAGGCTCTATAATGCCAGGAAACCTTTTAACAGTTTAATCCTTCCCAAGCAGAAAAAGCACCAGTGGCGCTAAGGGGAGTGGGCTAGGACAGAATGTAATGCTGGGGTGCATGAGGAGGCTGGCTCCACAGCCTCCTCCTAGGCCTCCAGACACGGGTGGGCAAGCCAGGGTGAAGTAGAAATACCTTGAGGTCAGGATTTGGAGAATGGGTTCTAGTACCAATTTGACCTGTAAATTCCAGTAAGCCTCTGGTCAAACTACCTCTCCTCTACCTTCATTTTCCCAGTATGACTATGGGAACCATGACTGTCTTTTTAATAAGCAGGAACACTCTACTCTGCGTGCCAGGCACCTTGTTGGATACTTTTTATGTACTTGTCACAGCAGCCTTTCAAAGGCAGCACTGTGGTTATCTTCATTTACAGGCAAAGATACCAGGGTCAGAGAGGTTAAGTAATGTCCAGTGTCACAGAGTTCTGTTTGGTTTCTCTCCCACACCCAAAGAGACTCCTAGGAGTGTTAATTCTGTGCCAGCTATTTTATGGGTACTGAACTAGAGCCCTTCCTCACCTGCTAATTTTTTCTTTCCTTCCCATGTTCCAGTGCCTTCCCCCATCTTTAGAGAAAGTGGGTTTGAGATGCCTCTGATTTGCTGAGCAGTGAGAGGGTACACGGCGGTAGAGGGTGAGTGATCTCCTTGGATCCCTACTGGTAGCAGCCAAAGTGAGGCTCATCAGAATGATGTGTTCCAGAGCATTTTTGTAGAACTTGCATCTCCTTTCACATACTTGGGTAGGAAGGTAGGGTGGTTGGTTCCCAGAAAATGGCTCATGTCTTGTCTCTAAGTGTCCTGGCTCTGACTCCTCATTGGACACCCAGTTTCAGGGCACCCAGGCTGGGCCTTGGGTCCTCCTCCCTTGGGAAAATAACCCTTGCAGTGAGGTTCCCACCAAGGGGAGTTTGAGGATTCCCAAGGCAGACCTCCACCAAATATATCTCCCTTCACATCACCTCAGGGACCTCTTTGCTTGGTGTGTCATTGGGGAGGCTGGAAACCAGTGGTGGACAAACACCTGGGTGAACCCCACTTCCAACTCTATCTCTATGGCAACCACCCCTCCTGAAGAAGCAGTCAGGAAAGTTTACACTTCAGACGAGGGAGCATCTGCCAATCTTTTCTATTTATTTAACAGACACTTTATATAAGTGCTTACCCTATTTAACTATTGTCCTAAACTCTAATTATTTTTTTTAATTCTCACAACAGCCCTATTCCATGGGTACCGCTATCATCCCCATTTGCAGATGAGGAAACATAGTTATAAAAGGTTAAATCAGTTGCTACCAAGGGGCAGGGTGGGACTTGAAATTGGAAAGTCTCATTCAGAGATCACAGTGCTGGGTGCATCACTGAAGAAAGGGGCTGGGGAAACCAGCCCTGCGTGTGGCCTTCATGTAGGGAGTACTGCCCTTGCCTACACTCTTTCGAGCCCCTGCTGTCCCAGCTCTCAGATACTACCTGTTGTAGGTGTGGCCCTTCTTCAGGGAGGGAGAGATGAAGGGAGGGAGGGAAGGAGGGAGGAAGAGAGATATAGAGAGAGGAAGAAAGAGAAAAAATGCAGTATATGTAAGAGCATCTGAATGAGTCACATTTCTGGGAGCCTGGCTACAGCTAAAGTAATTAGTATGTGAACCGAGTCTTACACATTTGTTCACATTTATTAATTTCTCCTTTTGAGGAGCTGTATGCTTCCATCCCACAAGTTTATTGCTATATATTCATCCTGTCCCAATCAACTTTCCCTGGTGGCTGACTTGAAACCTCTAATCTGCATTGTTCAGAGTTCTTGGAGAGTTGCTCAGTTGGCCAGTGCAGCAGAATGGGATTTCCAGAGAGTGGGTACCACCTGTCTGATCTTAGGTGGGCGTCCTGGCATCCCTGCTACATGTGTCCAAGCTCCCCTGACCTCAGTGTGCCCTAGCATTCTAACAAGTTCCTGGATGATGCTGCTGCTGTTACCTTTCCAAGGGTGAAACTTTGACTTAAACACCTCAGTCCCTTTCTCTATAAGATGGGAATGAGAACACCTGCTCTGTTGGTGATGTTAGGGTTGGAGATCATATCTGGCAATTCATTCATTTGGGTCATGAGCCTTGCACATGTGCCAGGCACTGGGGAATACACACAGAACAGGACACACAAGGGCCTTGGGGTGGTGGTTGGAGAACAGAGTAGTAAAATAAAATAATTGAAAATTGTGGCACATGTGACAAAGATCAAGTGTACTTGCACAGAGCCTAATGGGGGTGAGGAGAAACTAATTCAGATAGACTGGCCAGGAAAGGGCTCACCAGGTGACATTTTTAGAACCCTGGTCTGGAGTAATAGCTCAGCAACAATAGTACAATTGTTTGTCTCTTGGCTCTACTGCTTTCTGGCTGTGTGAACTTGGACAAGCCAGCTGATCTCCCTGTTTTATTTCCTGTAATATGGAGATAGTAAAGGTACTCGTTTCATAGTGTCCTTGTGCAGATTATAAAGGCACTGATATGTGAAGTGTGTAAAAGAGTTCCTGGAGCGTAGTTAAGGATGATGAGTTAACGATTATTGTCACTGGCACTATGACAACAATAGAAAACTGCAGATAAATTCTGAACCCCCCAGAAATCCTAAATAAGCTGAACCCTGCTTAATTCTGTGAGGCAATATGTAGCCCTCCTCCTGATTATCCTGGACATTGTTCTATAGAGTAAGTGGGGTGGCTGTCACCTCATGGGCATCCTTGGCAGTGATAAAGACTCATCTGAGACAGCTGGACCATACTAAAGTCTCTGACTGCCTAGATATTGTGTACAGAGGACTTCATGGGAAAAGGGGGTCACATGATGTTGAAGGAATAATAGAACTTCTCTGTTGGCAAGTAACACAAACCCAGCTCAAACTGGCTTAATCCATAAAAGGGAAGTTAACTGGCTACTAGAACTGCAAATACCAGGATACCTGGCTTCAGGAATAGCTGAATCCAGCCATTTAATATATTAAGACTCTATCATTTGGCCATAGTACAAATGATCCCTTTGGGTCATCTTTATTCTGGAACAGGTTCTCTTCCTATGATGGTAAATAGGTCCTCTCCAGCTCCAGGCCTATGTCTTTTTAGCTTAGAAGACTTCTTTCCAGTTAATTCTAGCAAATATCTTAAGACTACGTGCCTATCCATGAATCAATCAGTGTAACCAAAGGGTGGCATAAATTTTCTGAATGGCCAGGCCTGGGTCAGGTGCTCGGAACTAGGGCTTAATGTGGCTTTCCAAGGGAAAATCTGGAGTTCTTTTCATAAATGGGAGGAATGGATGCTGGACAACAACTGTCCTGAAAAGAGACCCTCTGGAATGAAAGCAGAAATCAAGGGGGTATCAATTTACCATGTCAGAAAGGAGTGGGAGCCAGGAGTGGGAGACCTGGACCACCAGTGTGCTGTTCAAGCTCAGAAGCTTGGTTGCTATCTTGCTCTCTTCATCATCCCATTGGCTTCTTGGTGGGGTTGGAAGACAAATTAGAAAGGTAGAGGATTTGGGGAAACCAAGTCCTGATTTTTGGCCAGGCCTGGAGAAAGGAGATGTCAAGAATGGAGGCAGCTAAGGAAGGCCAAATTCTTGCAAGGAAAGGACATGAGATGCAGGCCTGGGGCTGAGAGTCCTCTCTGGTTACCTACCATTTTCCCTTTCAACTCTGGCATCAAGTGGCCTCTGCCTTTCTTAGCCTTGGAACTATTGACATTTGGGGCCAGACAATTCTTTGTTATGGTTGGTGGGGGTGGGGTGCATCTCATGCATCGTAGGGTTTAACAGCATCGCTGTCCTCTACCTAGTAGATATGAGTTGTAGCCCCTTCTTCAGTGTTGAAAACCAAAATGTCCCTAGACATGGCCAAATGTTGCTGGGGGTCAAAATCACCCCTGGTTGGAAACAACTGACCTAGAGGATATGTGGAGAAAGGGTTGGGGTTCAAGACTACAGAAGCACATTCCTACTCTTCATCCTCCCAGCCACATTGGTGGTGAGTCTGGCTGCCTTGTGACCTAGAGAGGCTACATGGTATGTGTCCTGTTGTTACTTATTGAAAAGTCTCTTAATTGTGTTCATCATTGATGAGATGTCTGGGGGAACTCAAGTGCAGGACCCCTCTACTATGTCTGGGGGCAGAATGACATTTAGTTCTGGCATAACCAGTTCTTAAATTTTCATTTCCAGCATGTTTATAAGACCTTGTGATAACCAGCTCTTACTAAGACAATATTTTTCCAAAGGGTGACAGTGGGGATATGCAACCTGAGTTACATTAACAAGCAATTTAACACTTCAAGATACATGTATTTCAATGTGTTGTTTTCTTTTAAATAAGTTGATTTCAAGGATTCAGTGAGTCAGTTAATTAAGTAACTACACAGGAAGTGTATAGACAAAGCCTAAGTAGCTGAGGCAGCACTCCAGTGACCTATGTGGCAGGCCCACAAATAGTGGCTGGATGGTGGGCCAGATCGCCAACATCTAGGGTGCCTCCTCACCCCTAATTTACCTGAGCAGGATCTTGTATTAGAACATCTCTTGCCAGGTGTCATCCCTTGCTAGCCTGCCTTCTGTCATCTATAGGCAAAGGTGACAGTCCCTGCAACACCAAACTTCTCGTCAAAGTCATCAGTAATTTAATCCAGTCAATGGTCTCATGGTCAAGGCAGGATTGGAAGTATTCACAGGATCCTCTAAAGGATCAAAGAATGGTGGTCAATACTGCATTTGCTTAGGAAAGCCCTAGGGACCCACTGGCTGGTTATAGGCTCACATATGGGTGGAACAAAAGCAGTGAATTCGATGGAAATGCCTAGAAAATGGGAATAGAGCAAAGCTGTACAAGCCAGGGCTTTCTGGAGATGAAGCTTCCTTCACAAACAAGGAGTAATGATGGTGGGTGAGGAAGGAGTCCTGGTGACTTTAGTTTTTATTAAGCATCTATTTTGTGCCAGCACTGTGCTAGTGTTTGAGTCTACACCAGTGGTGCTTATCTAGTGATTCTGCGCCCCCAGGGAACATTTGGCAGTGTCTACAGATCTTTTGGGTTGTCACAATTAGGGAAGGTGTGTTGTTTTGGACATCTAGTGGATGGAGGCCAGTGAGGCTGCTAAACATCCTACAGTGCCCAGGACAGCTCTGCCACAACAAATGATCAGGTGCTAAATGTCAGCAGTTTCAAGGTTGAGAAACCCTGTTTATGCTAATGGCAAGACAGACAGCTAGCCATGAAGACAGGAAGAGAGGACAGAAGGGAAGGACAGTAGAAACAAAGTAAACAAGACAAAGATGACAGATGATTAGACTAAGAAATAGAGAAGAGGCTCTGATTAAGATGAATAGGAGTGTGATCTTGTCCCAAGTCTGAGTGCTTGATGTTAGAGCTAAGACCAGCAGGGGGAGGACCAGAATTCCATGGTAGGGGTCAGGAGCATCAAGCAGAGGGAACCAGAAGGGTGAGGAGACATGGGTTAAGGCTGTCATCATGACTGCTGTGTGGACTCCAGCTTGCATGGGGGCCAGAGAGTGCCAAGGAGCATCCTGCGGCATCCCTAGGAGAGATAACCTGGCATGGAGTAAAAGGGTGGATTCTTGGGAAAGCTTTGGAGGGGGGATAAAATGTGTGAAAACTCAGGATGGAACCCAGGAAGACAGTTCATTTTGGGTACACAGTACCATATTTGAAATGCTGGGAGTCTTCTAGGGACTGGGTTGTGTGACCTTGGGTTAATATCCTAACCTGAAGGCTTTTTGTCACCAGTGTAAGGACTGAATGTGTTGAGTGCCTGGCCTAGAATGAATCTTGCTAAGTGTTAGCTGTTACCACTGAGAGATTGAAATGGTGATGCATGCCATTGTCCCAGCTCAGTCCTGGCCTGTGACTATCTCTTTAAAGTTTCATTTTACTCCCTTATTTTTGAAGAGGTCAGATATGGCCTCAAAATCAAAGAATATGAAAGGGTATTTAGAGAAAATGAGTATCCCTTTCAGCCTCTCCTCCATCCACTAGTGATTCATGGTTGTTTACTGGGCCTGGCCAAGGGTGTATATAGGAGTCAAAATCCATTTACCACCCTATCCCCACTGCCATGATTGGCAGTGCTGCCAAGACAAATGGTGCCTTTTCCTACGTGTCCAAAGGCATCATATGGGCTAGCAGGTTTGAAATGAGGTGGAGAAGAAATGAGGAGAGTGTGTCTTATGATGAACTGATCTTTTTCCCCCACCTCCCCCAAGTTTTCTGGAATGTTCATGCTGTCAGAGAGAAAGATGAGAACCCAGCAAGCGCTTGCCTTCCTCCTGCTCTTCATGATTGCCTCTGGGGCTTCTGAAAACTCCAGCACTTCCCGGGGCTGTGGACTGGACCTCCTCCCTCAGTATGTGTCACTGTGTGACCTGGACACCATCTGGGGCATCGTGGTAGAGGCGGTGGCAGGGGCTGGTGCCCTGATCACACTGCTTTTGATGCTCATCCTCCTGGTGCGGCTACCATTCATCAAGGATAAGGAGAAGAAGGACCCTCTGGGTCTCCACTTCCTATTTCTCCTAGGGACCCTGGGCCTCTTCGGGCTGACCTTTGCCTTCATCATCCGGGAGAATGAGACTATCTGCTCAGTTCGGCGTTTCCTCTGGGGCATTCTCTTTGCACTCTGTTTCTCCTGCCTGCTGAGCCAGGCCTGGCGTGTTCGGAACCTAGTGCGGCAGGGCAGGAGCCCCTCCGGCTGGCATCTGGTGGGTGGGGCGCTGTGCCTGACACTGGTTCAAGTCATCATTGCTGTAGAGTGGCTGGTGCTGACTGTGCTGCGTGACTCGAAGCCGGCCTGCGCTTATGAGCCAATGGACTTCACTATGGCCCTCATTTACGACATGGTACTGCTTGTGGGCGCCCTGGGACTGGCCCTTTTCACGCTGTGCGGCAAGTTCAAGAAGTGGAAGCAGAATGGAGCCTGCATCCTCCTCACAGCCTTTTTCTCTGTGCTCATCTGGGTGGCCTGGATGACCATGTACCTCTTTGGCAATTCGGAGCTGCGGCAAGCAGATGCCTGGGATGACCCCACCTTGGCCATCACACTGGTGGCCAGTGGCTGGGTGTTCATCATCTTTCACTCCATTCCTGAAATCCACTGTACTATCCTGCCCTCCCCTCAGGAAAACACCCCTAACTACTTTGACACGTCCCAGCCAAGGATGCAGGAGACGGCCTTTGATGAGGATGTGCAGCTACCGCGAACCTACATGGAGAACAAAGCCTTCTCCATGGATGAACACAATGCAGGTATAGTGGTGGCTGCCTGTTGGGTTAGGTTCTGAGTCCTTTTATCCTAAAAGGACTCTCTTCTTTCCAGTGGTACTAGGTGGCCCAGGGGGCAGTACTGGCAGATCAGAGTTCACAAACACTGTGTGAACAGTTCACCCCTGTGTGGAAACTGGCCCAGAAATTGGTTTTTATTTAGAATTTTTCCTATAAAGTGCCAACTAGTTTAATATAAAAATCCAAGTTTCTGGCTTCTTTTGAAAAGTTGGATCTAACAATGCATGGCCACCATTCCCAGGTAGCAACAACTGTCTGGAGTTGGCTGGAAGGCCCTGCCTCTTACCCCTCACCACATTATAGTTGCCTCTTTAGATGGGAATCCACTTTTTGTTTACTACACTCCCCACCACTCCCTATTTTCCTTGGCCCAACTACTCTAACATGTTAACATTAATTGTCTGGCTCCCTGGAAGTGTTTGCATTTGTAGCCCATGTGCTAGATGCTGAGGGACAATGCTTGTGTCCTCTCCCTTACCTCTGGCACCAAGAGTATATGAATTTGAGCCCTCAAGTCAGATGTCTGGGTTCAGATACTGTGTCTGGCCACTTCCTAGGTATGTGGCTTTGAGTAAATTACTTTACTTTGCTAAGCTCCAGTTTTTCTCATCTGTAAAAAACAGACAGAATGTCCCTCATGGAGCTGTAGTGAGAAGTAACATGCTGCATGTAATATACCTAGTGGTTCCCACGGTACCTGGCATGTTGAATGTGCATCTTGGTTTGGTTCTCCTGAAAGTGGGGCCTGACACCAGATGCATGTGGTTGATTTAGGAGGTCAGTGTGAGGATTATCTCTGAGAGCCCAGAGGGCCCTCAGGGGACGTGAGGAGCAGAGGCTAGGAGCTTAGCCACTTTGTGGTGCCTCCCCTAGGTGGTGTCCTAGGGGAGGCACCTCTTACTTGGCTCCTCCTGAAACAAGCTCCTTTTCGTCTGAGCCCTGTGGACTCCCCTGGGACTCAATGGCAATGGGATTACCTGAAATGGATGTAATTTTTTCCCATTCACTATCTAATTAGTCTGTCACTTTTTCAGTTCTTTGTTACCTCCAGAAAGTTAAGAACTTGATGGTCTATTTTCCTTGCAGTGAAATGGGGATGCTAGAACTATCCAAGTATTAAGTTCTTCAAAAGTAACGATAGCTAACCTCTACTGCATGCTTATTATGGACCAAGTACCCTTCTGTGCATTTCAGTGGTTAATCTTATTTGATGCCTTTAATAACCCAAGGAAGTCCATGCTACAGATAGGAAACCAAGGCAGAGCTGAGGTGTGAACCCAGGTGTGCTGGCTTCAGAGCCCACATGCTTGACCACTCTGCCACAGAATTACTCTTTTTAAAGCACATTGGTGTCCCTAATCTCACTGATGCATCAGGATGACTCTGTGCATTGAGAAGATGGTGGTTATCAGTCCCATTTTATAGAGCAGGAAACTGAGGCAACTTGTTCAACTCAACACTGTAAGTGTACAACAAAGCAGGGAAGGAGAAAGCTGATTTTCTGGCTCCTGTTACATGCATCCTTTCCTATGAAAATACATCAAATGTGTCTAATCCGCATAAAATCCAGAGATCAAAGGGAACTGAGATTCAGGGTGGTACCAGCAGTGCCAGGGCTGGCTCAGGGTAGTGGGTTTCCAAAGGTGCCTCTACCCCTGTTTCACACCCTGATATGTACCAATGCCAAGTACTTGTCTTGTAGTACTTTCTTTTCCCTCTCTTTTCCAAAACAAAAATAGCTTTAATATTCCTTCCTGATGTCAAAAGATCAATAATAACCTTGTAGAAGTTTCAGCAAGAATAATAAAAAGTGCTCAGAATACCCTTGCCCAAAGACAGTTACTGACGACTGTTTTCTCCCATCTTGCCAGACATCTCAACATGAATGCATACATATACAATCTCTTCTCTCTCTCTGTCTCTCTCTCACACACACACACACACACACACACACACACACACACACACACCACATATGACAATCCCATAGAGCCATTCTTAACCTAGCTGCATGTAAGAATTACTTGAGCAGCTTGAAAAAATTACCAGTGCCTGACTCCTTATTCTGAGTAAGTCTCCTTTGGGTTTAGGTATTTTTAAAGCTCTTTAAGTGATTCTAAATGTAAGCAGGTTGAAACCACTGGGTGGTGTGCAATGTGTTTGCTTAAATCAGTATCATGGCTGAGGCCTTTCCAAGTTAGTGACTACAGAGCTTTAGTGTCCTTATCAAGATGCAGAGCTTTCCATTAGGCACCGTAATTAATTTTCTGATCTTCAGCTGGCAAGTATTCCACTTGTTTCCAGCTTTTTCTTTCATTTAAAAAATTTTTCATTTGCAGTTCACATTCAATATTATATTAGTTTCTGGTGTACAATCCAGTGGTTTGACATTTATATAATTTATGAATTGATCACCCCTGATGATAAGTCCAGTACTCGCCTGGCAATATACATAGTTATTACAATATTATTGACTCTATTTGCTACACTGTACATTACATCCCCATGACTATTCTATAACTACCAATCTCTACTCCTTAATCCCTTTCCCTTTTTCACCCAGTCATCCAACATGCTCCCATATGGCAACCATCAGTTTGTTGCAATCAACCTTCTAATCCATTCATCTCTGTGCCATTGATCAGTTAACTCCATGAAGGAAAAAAAAGTCCTAGACTGCACCTAAAGATGCACCAAAGATTCTGCACCTTTAAATCATGATATATACTGCAAGACAGCCCTTCAGAATGGTGGGCTAATTTACTGTCCCCCTTTAATCAATAAAGAGCCTTATTGTCTCTACTTCTTCACCAATCTTGAATGTTCTCAGACTTTTTAAAATAGCCCTAGTTTGCATCATTCCAAATTTGTAATCCACCAAAATTTACATAGGGCCAAACAGGGCAGGCTCCAGCAGTTAGTTCCCTCAGAAAGCTCATAGTGAGGCTAAATTGGCATCCTGGCTAGGAACTGCCCTTGTTCTAGAAGCCCTTGCTTTGCTAGCTGGGGAATGCCTGATCACTCTGTCTTGCCACAGTGAGAATAGCTATTCATCTGTGGTGCTTATCTCAACCAGCTTACATTTTAATAAACGGCCCCATCAAGGGCCTTGCTCAGGAGCTTCAGTGGCCCTGTTTTTCTTGCATTTTAACTAGCCAGACTTTCAGGCTCTCTTCCCTTGAAAGTTTGCCCTGACTCTTGAAGAGGTGGGAAGTCCATTACCCAGGCTGGCCTATGGCTCAGCCAGGCCCCAGCAGTCTTTCCTTCCTTATTCCCTTCCCCCCAGTGAGACCCCTGATACATATGACTTCACCAGCCTGCTGCTTACTAATAAGAATCAGCAAGGCATGAGGTATGTGAGTAAATGGATTAAAATACATTGAAGGATGTAACACATCAGATCACATTTTCAAAGGCGTTAACAAGGCACATTAAATGCTCATCTTTCAAAGGAGATGGAAAGAAGAGTTCTTTCTTCTGTTAGGGGATTTGGGCTCCTAGATCTCATTAGGGCCAAGGACTATTTAAACTCTTACCCTTAGCTTCCCAGTGGAAGGCCCTGAGTTGGCTTTGGGGCCAGGGCCAATTTAGCCTCACTTGCAGATTCTAGACAGGGGAAGGCTGGCATGCAACCTATGATCTTTGATTCCTATGGGGACCCTCTCATGGGTGGGCCCTGCATGCCTTTCCAAGTGGCCCCAGGTCAAAATGGCTGTTAGCTGGAATTCTTGAAGTTGCAAGTAATGGAAATCTGATTTAAATCAGCTTAAGCAAAGCAAAACAACAGCAACAACAATACTAGGTATCAAGCTTCAGGAATGGTTATATCCAGGAAGCTCAAGATGACAAGATTTGGTCTTTCTCCATCTTCTTAATTCTGTTAGCATCCTGGCAGCCCACAGCTCTAGGCTGCACAGAACATTTCCTAGAATGTTTGAGCAAAAGTCCCAGAGTTAACTCTGATTGACCTGATGGCCCTTCCCTGAACCAATTAGCATGGCTGGGAAGATTTAATGTCCTGATTGGCTAGGTATAAATCACATGCACACCTGGGAGTGGGGGTGGGGTGGGGGAGAAGGCAACTGTAGCCAACACTCAGGGAGCTAGAGTGTGAAAGGGATGTTTACCAGAGAAGTACAAATAGCCACTATAGAGGCTCATTCTCTGGCCAAGACACCCCACAGCTGGACAGTAGAGTTGAGAATCTTTTGGAGCCAGATTCTCCCAACTACAGCTGGCTGGGTCTCTGCATTATAAGGAAAGCTGTGCTGTTTGGTCTTCCCTCTCTTCAAGCAGGTCTAGGATAGGAATTGAGACTTGTAAGAGTCCATGGATGGTCTCCTTTGTCCCCTACTGTGTCCCAGCACCCCCTTCTCCACCTTCCAGGAAGGGTACCTCCTTGCTGAGCACATACTTAAGGGGCTATTGAAGGTTTGGAGATGCTAAAACAAAAGGGTTTTCATAAGTATGTCTTACACAGGGGTGTCCAACCTACAGCTTGTGGGCTGCATGTGGCCCAGCATGGCTATGAATGCAGCCCAACACAAAAAACCTTATGAGATTTTTTTGTGTGTGTGATTACGTGTCACAATGTATTTAATGTGTGGTCCAAGACAACTCTTCTTCTTCCATTGTGGTCCAGAGACACCAAAAGCTTGGACACCCCTGTTGAGAATATGTATTCCCTTCCCAGCCACAGTTTCTGTGGTCCAGTCTGGGCTGAGCTGTCCCTAAGCCACTTAAATTCGAGTTGCTTCTAACTGAGTACGGTGGTTAAAAACATGGTATTTGGAGTCACTATAGCGTGATATTTATGAATATAGATTGTCTGCTTGAGTTCAAATGCTGGTTCTGCCACTTAGCAGCTATGTGACCTTGGGCAAATTAATCTCTCTGTGCCCCAGGTAAAGTAGATATAATAAAAGTACCTATTGTGCTATGAAAATGAAATGTTAATACGTATGTTAATATGCATATGCATGCATGCATACACATGCATATTATATCTATTCATATGCATATTATATATAATATAATATATATAATATATATATTTTATATATATATATATATATTCTCTCAGTGCCTGGGTCCTGTTTGGCAATCTGTGAAGGTTAACTATATTAGCAAGGTGATTTTGATCCCTGCTCCAAGGAATTTGTGAAAATCCCAAGCTCTCTTGCTACTTTTTTAGTCAGAAAGATGACTCCCTTTAGGGAAGACTTTTAAGAGAGGCTTTTCTTAACAGCAAGATTAGTGCCTTCAGTGAAAATGAAGATAATGAAGATGCCATTGCATAACTGAGAGGGACTTTTTTCTTGATTTTTAAATAGTACTTTCTCCACTATTTTTAATAGACTTTTTTAAAGAGCAGTTTTAGGTTTATAGAAAAATTGAGTATAGGGAGTTGTCACAAGCCCCTCCCATGGTTTTTCTGTTATTAACAACTTGTATTTGTTACATTAGTGTTGCAGTTAGTGAATCAATATTGATACATCATTATCAACCAAAGCCCCTAACGTAAATTTTATAGAGCACTATCCACAGTTCTGTCGGTTTGGACAAATGCATAATATCATGTATCTACCATTATAGTTATGCAGAATAGTTTCACTGTTTAAAATTACCCTGCATTACACCAATTCATCACCACCCCTCAACCCCTAGCAATCATTAATCGTTTACTGTCTCTCTAGTTTTGCCTTTTCCAGAATATTATACTGGGAATCATATAGTATGTAGGTTTTACAGACTTGCTTCTTTCACTTAGCCACATGCATTTAAGTTTCCGTCATGTCTTTTGGTGTAATTAGGTTTATCTTTAAAAAGAAAGAGGAAAGTATAAAAAGGGGGACCTATAAATAAAGTACAAAACAAATGAAACCCAGGTCACCCACCTTTCAGAGGTAAAAGGTGCCTGTATGTTTTTCTCGCTTTGTTTCAGACCTCCCTTTTTTTTCTATTCAGAAAGAACCATACTGGTTGGAGTACTTCCACATCACTTTCCCATGAAGTGTACCTTGATGTCCATGTTCTTTCCTATGTCTGTGTGTATCCAGAAATAGTGAACAGCATTGAACAGCGTGATGTTGAACTTGACATGAATGGTATCCTGTAGTGAGGAGGTCTTTTCTCAGAGGAGAGCTTCTGGGGAATGCAGAGGTGCTTCCTTCTTTGTCACCTGTGACCTGCAGGAGCTGGGGAGAGAGGAGCAGAGGCCCAGCCCTCTCCACCTCCAGCAGGCTGCAGCCTGGATTCTACAGACTTCCCAACTCCACTGAGATGGGGTAGGCTCCAAGAGAGGCAGAGAACAAAGTCCCTTTGTTACTTTTGTTTGGAATCAGGCTTGTGACATAGGGGAGGAGAGAGGGGGAAATGTGTGCCCAGAGCATGGTATTGATACAGGGGAAGAAAACAAAGTTGTCTTTTTGTGTGTGTGTGTGTGTTGCTTTTCCCTCCCTCCCTCAGCTCTCCGGACAGCAGGATTTCGCAATGGCAGTTTAGGAAACAGACCCAGTGCTCCGTTTAGAAGCAATGTGTATCAGCCAACTGAGATGGCGGTTGTGCTCAATGGAGGGACTGTAAGTATTAAGCAGTGATGTTTTGTCAGAAAGCCTATGAAAGGTCAGTGTGTGTGGGTAGGGAGTAGCTTCAACAGGGACACACTGCTCTGCAGAGGCTGTTGACAGGCCTGCAGAGACAGTGGCTTAAGTAGACACCTTGTAGCTAGAATGCATGCAAGGCTTCCACTTTTCTTTTACACCTTTCTCCATACATGGAACATCCACCTGTACTTAGTGTATGACCTGTAGATTCATTTGGAAGGGTCAGCACTTTTGAGCTCTTTTACCCAGTGAATTCTCTGGCTTCATTATAGACAGTATCCTCCACTCTGCCTGGGAGGTGACTTTTAGGAAAAGCTCAGAATTATGAGTCTCTGGCCGATTTTGCTGGCATCCAATCTAGTTTAGGGCCCCCTTTTAGTCCTCCCTCTATCTCTGTGCCCCAGCTGGGTACCAGGTTGCCCCGCTCCCACTCCCTAAGAATTGTCTTGAGAAATTGAAGTAATTGTCATTTGTCTCCCATGTGCACAAAAGCAGGTTTACTAGCTGACGCCAAACAGACATCAGCAGAATTGTCACTGTTTGTGTTTTGCCTGTGAGAATGACATCAATTTGCTTCTCCAGCAATCCAAAGACGCACTCTTATTCCCACATTTAATTTCCAACCATTGCTGTGTGCTTCTTTCTGACAATGCATGGACCAGTTTACACGTGTAAATTGGATTTCCATTTTTTCTGTTATATGCCCTTTACTCCGCCTGAGCTTCTTTCATTTTTGATGTAAGCCAGAAACAGTCTATGATCTCTAGAGGGAACTTGGGTTTTCCTAGCCTTGTGAATGCTGTGTTAGGCATTGATTTCCATGGGTATAGAACAGATTCAAAGGCAAAAATACTCACAAATTTGCATTCTGAAGCTCCCCTGCAATCCATTGGACTGATTCATCATTGGGTGCCAAGATAGGCCTAACTCAAGGCATTTACCCACCTGTGTTATAATTATGGTTAGAAAGTGGCCCCATTAGTCACTCTTAAGCCCTCCTGATACCTTCAAGACATGAAAACACCCTGAACTTAGAAAGTAAAGTGGGTTTCTAACTAAGAATGTCGTGACATAATACATAGTGGCTGCTGCTTCTCTTGGGAACTCTAGTCCCTGAAATAGCCAGGTACTGATCTTTGGCACATTGTTAACGTGTTGGTTCTGATACTGACTTTGTACAGCACAGAGTTCTTAGAGTGTTATCCTTGTTTCCAGATCCCAACTGCTCCACCAAGTTACACTGGAAGACACTTCTGGTAAAAGACAAAGTTCCAGAGAACTCTTACCGATTTTATTTCCTGGATGTGTCTTTCTTGAGGGAAAAATCAGTAATAGTAGCCGAATAAGGCTGCCTTGCAGTCAGATTTGGAAATCCTAGACAAGGTGATTTTGTGTAAATGTGAACACTGCTGAACTGAAAAGCTAACACTGACTGTCCTCCCTACCCGCCCCCCACCCCAATACCCAACCAACCTTAATCCCTACAAACTAAAGCAAAGCTAATTACAAATAGTATTAGGCTCACTCAAATATATGGCCAAGAAGACTGTTTCATCCTTGGAGGGTAGAATAGAGCCAAGTTCACAGCCAGTGTGCCAGCATCACCCTTCCTCAACCCCTGGTGGCCTCTTGGAGGTTTCATTGAGGAAGACCATGGGGGTTTTCCCACCAGCCTGCACATTTCAGGGGGTGTCAGGAGCAGTTCAGAAGGTTGTGAGTATGATTCCAAGGAGAGGCCTAATCAAATCATGGGGCAAGCCTTACAACCAATAGTGGTGGAGGGACACTATCATGTGCCAAAGAGGAGATGTTGCCTGTGAGTTGGTGTCCTTCACATTTAGAAACTGGTGACCTCTCTGGACTAGTGTTTGGAAGGGAAAGCAAGACACTTCCCTCCCTCATGTTACTAAGCAACACTCTGGCTTGAGGCAGCAGTGTCTTCTTCCTTTGATCATTTCTCCCTCTTAAGGCACTTACCAGCGCTCTTCCAAGCCCTCTCCCAATTTTATCCCCATTCATTTCAAAGGCTTAAATGAGGCCACCAGCTTAAAACTCCTGGGTTGGCAGACTGGAAGGCAGGCACCATAGCACATTTTCCCAGATAGTGTCACATGGCAGGGTATTCCAGGGGTGGCCTCTGGGATGATGACCCTGCTGCTAATGTGCAGTGAGTTCTTGGGCTTTTACATTGATGTAGTGAAAGTTCCAGGGTGGAGTGGACCATCTGGGGCTTTCTTGCTGCTTTTGGAAGGAGTGGTGTACATTTTAACTTGATGTTCTGAAAGTTCCATGAAAATGGTTTGACTCTTCAAGCTCATTGTTTCTGTCATGATTTCCATTTGTTCTTAACAAGTCATTCCTTGGTTCTTTGGCATTTCAAACTACTTGGCCATTCAAAGCACCATGTTTTCTGCACTGTTTGGCCAGCATAATCACTAATGATTCAAAGCAAAGTCTTAACTTGAAAGCATGGAATGTCTATGTGAGGATGGATCCTCTTGCCTACATTCTAATATTACTTTTTTTTCTATAAAACAACCCATAAGCCTTTAACCTTTTAAAGAAAATGAAAAAGTTTAGCGTTTGGTGAGGGCAAACTGACCTCTGCATAAGCCAATGTGTCTGAGCTGTTTTAATAAACCTTCTGATTATTCTTGAGGACCTAGTCTCTTCTGTGTCCTGTCCTTGCCTTCCCTCCCCCCATCCTTTCAGACCACTGGGGTAAACAAGACCAATCTGACCATCCCCTGTGAGAGGCTCTCCTTTGGGGTTTCTGTCCTGCTAGTGCATTTCTCATCACCACACATGGGGAAGGAAAGCATGGAAATAGAATGCCCCCAGCCCTTATCTCTGGAAACTGCCTCCCCTGCCTAAAGCATGTGCTTGCTTCTATAGAATCAGACTCCAATCATTTGTGAGAGGATCATCATTGGGTGGACTGAGAACTTGGGGTGGGAGTGGAGGTTGTTGCATGCACACCAAGAATTGTCAAAATACATAATTCTTTGAACACCTGGGTCCAGGTCTGTGAAAACCAACTGCATTGCACATTCTTGTGCCAGGAAATGGTTGCTCACCCCCAAATCCTGGAGTCATTCAGAGCTCCCTGATCCCATCTGTGACTCATTCTGCAGGAGCCCCTTGCAGAAGGGAGTAACTCACATAGATATTTTCTAAGTTTTTGGTGGTCCAGGCATGTAAGATAGCTCAGCATAAATCACTATGAGTGTAATGTAATGTTTTACCACCATAAAAATGAAACCAGTTTTGAGCCATGGAGAACCTTCTCTAATGAGACCTTTTTTCTTTTCTTTTAAACTTCTGATATGTTATTGTGCTCTGGGTTCTGTTTTATTTTGGCCCTAAGATCGAGAGTAGGCTGAATGTCCTCAACAATGGGGGCAGAGATGGGGAATAAGGGGACAGTGCAGAGAACTGTTATTTTTTAATGATTATACCTGCAGGGTACAAAGAGACATCATGGCCAAGAGACTGTGGCAGCCAATTTCTTCCATGGAACAAAGTGTAAATGCAAAATTAAATAGCATCTTTTGTTTAGTATCTGTTTATGTAAAGGAGACTTGTTGGGTAAGATGACCCGAAAGGGGAACATCTGTGATAAAAATACCTAATTATAAGCACAAATCTTTCCATGTCCAATTATTAAAGTTACCTTGGGACTGTAACAGCCACTCTTGTCTCCCTTTTAATAGAAAATGGTCATTGTGGGCTGGATTTCTCCACTGGAGATGGAGGAGCTGGTGAAGGAATTGGCTTGGAGAAATGACTGACAAACTGGGACTCCAGGGTTTTGCATTCTGTGTTGAAAGCTGGGATCCAGTGCTTGTAGCACAGTTTCCATCAGAGCCCAATGAACACACATAGATGTAGGGTGGTCTTCTAGGTTGGCCAATGCTGAGCTGAACCCCAATCTGAAAGGGAGCATTGTGGCTTTTATAATCCAATCATGCAATGATTATACCAGTTTATAGGAGTTCTCAACAGGTGCTTTTATGAATTCATAAAGAGCTATGGCTCATTTTTGATAGGTTACATGTATTTATTAAATGTATTAATGTGTTTTATAATGTACCTTCACCCTCCCCTGGTTGACTTATAAGAAAAAATCATTAAAGAAATTTCAAGACAATCAATGTGTACTATACATGATTGTATATAAATATTACAAATTAAAAAGATTTTAAAGCATGAGCACATGGATTTTATTTTCAAAATGATGTTCTTAACACAAAACTAAAGGCTTCACTATTTCCTTAAGATGTGTGGTAGCTTGTCAAAACAACCCAATACAACCACTAGGCTTTTGGATCTGCCCAGAGACTAAGGCTGTGGTTCTTTGACTGGGAAAATCCTGGTTAACAGCAAACCACAGAACAAATGATGGTAATAATTCAACTTGCCCATAAAATGAGGAACTTCCTATATTTTGGAGCCTACACAACAAAAATCCTTTGTTACTGTTGTCCAGGTTTAAGTGTTACATCTTGGTGGGTGAACTGTAAAAATTAAGGGTCAGTTGCCTTTTGAAATGATCACAGGCGATAATCTTTTTTATGAAGAGTATGCACCAGATAAACTTCAGAGGTTTTGGGGCTTAAATTTAAATTTAGCTCTTCACAAAGGTGACTAAAAGTGGGAAACTAGTAACTAGGACACTTTATCACTGGAACTAGAGTTTATGGTTCATTTTCATGGAAGTTGGTATAGAAGAAAACTCCTGAAGCACCGAAGCAATATATGGATGAAAATTAAAATTTAGGGATAAGGCAGAAAGTTAAAACTAGTGTATTCTTATCAGTAAAGTAAGAACTACTTGTACTAAAGATGTGTGCAACAAATACTGTCTTATGTGGGAAAGATTCTGTATTCACATGTACCAAATTTAGTCATTAAAAAACTAACAATAAAGGAAGCAGAATTTGGGCTTTCTCTTTGAATGGGGTCATTGGTACTCAAAAGGGAAGATACCAACAGTGGTTAAAGTGCTGGAGTTGCAAGTACACTCTCCTCTTCCTCTTCCTCCATTTTGTATTTCACTGCAAAGAAACAAAAAAGAAAGTTAGGATTGATTTACTTACCTAGATAGACTTGTCATTTGGAAATCAAGCACTTTGATATGTGAAGGCCAGTTGTACCAAAACCCACCAAGCTACTATGGTCATGACCTCATGGATCTTTAGAGAAGGACATAGGGCCTCTGTGCTACAAGGGCAACACCTGGAGTTTTCAAACTCTTCTCATAATGTTCATGGCCATTCTTAGTTTGGTTTGGAAGAAGGTCAGAGTGTGTTTTTCAGGTAGGCGGAACTAAAGAAAACTCCTGTTACCACTCACCCTGTTCCTCCAATCCACCCAAAATTAAAAACTCAGGATAGCACTGGGATCAATACAAGGTCAAAAGAGAACTTTTTCTAGCCTTTGATGGTCTGGATGAGAAATTGATTCTGGTGATTTTCTGAGTCAGCCAAACAGTAAAATTAACTAAACACAGCATGGCACAATTTGTAAGGAAAATTGTCCCAAAAGGTAATAGCCCCTCCCCCCAAAATATGGAAACCCAGCCTCCAGGGTGGGAGGAAGGTTCTTTAGAAAGACCCTCTTTTCTTTAATGTTTTTGCTTCTAGTGTCCAGGTGTCTGCCCAGATGTTAGTGCCTGAAGGGTTATTCTAAACAAGGTCATGGCTCTGTTTTTTTGTTTGTTTGTTTGTTTGTTTATTTGTTTTTTTGTGGAGAGCAGGGTTTGAGCAGAAAGGATATGGTTTCTACCATGTAGAGCAAAGGTTTCAGTCAAACCTGGTCTCCTGGTCCTGATCCTGACCTCCCAGTGACTAAGGGCACACTGGCCAGATCCAAGCCCAGAGTGAGATGTGGATGTCACATGCAGTGTGGCTACTTCCTGATAGAAGTGGGCCGAAGGATTTTAGCACCACAGTCTAGGCCAGCAGTTTCAAAATCGGGCTACACAGACTGCCCCTGGGTTCTTGGACATGGGTATTCAAATAAAGTCAATTTCCAAATCTTCAGCATCCATGTGTGCACCTGTATTTCAGGGTTTATATTCGTCCCCTTCCCTAACTCCTCATTCTGGCACTGCCCAGTGTTTAAAAATTCCCAAGGTGCCAAGTAAGAAATTTAAACTGGCATCCCCCAGAGTCTCCTCTATTTAATAAATTCTCAAAATTTATAATGTACTTATTTAGCTACCAATAATTGCATTAATAACTCAAACCAGAAAAATATTTTTAATACTTGGAGGCTGTGGTCATGGGAATACTAAAAAAAAATTTTTCAATGTATATACTTTTTTGTGCCACATATATGGGTAATCAC